ATAATTAAACCTACAAAGATAAATAAAATATATCACAAAATATTATAACTACTTTCTTTTATAATTGTAATTCATGATAACTTAGCTAATCACAAAAATTGAACTAGTATTCACTGCACACTAGGAATACTCCTTATTTGGGAGAATTGCTCATTTACTCCCACACTTTTGCTGAAGGAAATTGATAGCTGTTCCAAACTTTATCGTTTGACTCACTGAGTGCATCAAACTTCGATTTCGTGTTATGCAATCAAGTCATATATGCCCAAAACCCTTTCACCGCACTAAACATTTATTTGCACCTTTTTGCCTTCATTGCTGTCTTTTGTACTAAAAGAAAATCAAGTGTTCACCGTTGTCTTTTTCACTTTTGAGGCGCTCTCATAAATCTGTCACACGGCACATATATAGAGTGATAGGAATGTGATAGAGGTGGGAATCTTGCCTTTTGATTTTGCTTAATTCGCCTTAAATGATTTTGGAGAAAGCACTTAATAGTAAAAGTTTGAGAAAAAAGTGATTTTGATCAAAAAAGTAAAAATTGATAATGTTTGGTAAAACAAGTGCTTTCTGTGTAATAGAAAAAGTGAAAAGCAGTTTAAAGCACCATTCCACTTACTTTTAGCTTTTAGTTTTTAAATGATTAATTTAAATAGAAGCTATCATTTGAAAAACACTCTTATCAACTTTTTTTTAATGAAAAGATGAAAAACATTTTTTAAAACTTTAGCAAATACTCCCTAATTCATACACTATTCACTTGGTTATTTTTTGTCACTCGTAATCTTTTATTTATATATCGAATTTTCATCAATTACTTTATCGTCAATCAAACATCGTAAACCGAAACAAGAATATGAATATAGGTAATTTACCAAATACCTATTTGAATGTGAGCATTTGATTTGCCTATTAAAAACAAAGATATACTCCGTATATGATTAAGAGCCCGTTTGGAGAACTCTGTTTTCGGCTTATCAGGCTTATCAGCCAGCTTTTTCACCAAACACGTAACTTTTACTTTCGCGCGCTGAATTGTGCAATAAGCCGAAAAAGTAAGGTTGAAGTTACTTTTCTGGCTGTATTGGCTGAAGTTACTGCAGAGGACCATTTTAGCTATTTTACATATAATTTTTTCTTTAATTTATTAATAAAATATATTTTTAAAATATTTTTTTCTTAAATCAGCAGAATCAGCCAAAACAGCCACTCCAGCCAGAATATCATAAATTTCAGCAGAATCAGCCAAAACAGCCGATTTTGGTGCTACCAAACGGGCTCTAAATAGTGTTTGAAAACCGACCCGACTGGACGGATGATGACCCATGCGTGAGATGTAATTTCATGCTTACTGCATGTCGATCAGCTCCTTACAAAACTTAATGCCCCCGGGACTCGATCCAATATTAATATTTGATTTATACAAAAATTCAACATTGCTTAATGTTTTTAATGTGGGATACACCTTAGGGTACGTTTGGTTAGAGGTAATCTTGTATGCAGGTCGGAATCTGATGTCCGGAATCTGAGATACTCGCGTTTGGTTCGCGGGTTTAAAAAAAAAATGGGAATGTTACATTCCCAAAAGTGAGAAATGTAATCTCATGCCCAGTAATCTTAAACCCATGGAGCTCTTAGGTTATGTTGGATGTCTGGTTGTTCACAACACTTCTTCCAAAAAAATATCCCCCTCATTTAATCAAGAGGAGGTATAATACCAGAAACTCTTTTCACTTGCTTTGTTTGCTATAAATGTTCATGTAATGGAATATTCAACATATTTATTAATGTGTTTCATTATGCATTTACTTAAACATGCAATAATGCTTACTAATGTTCACTAATCTTTATCATTTGAGCAAATAAACACACTTTTCTAAAAAAAATACAATTATTTTAATTTGATTTTATTTATCTTTGACGTATTTCATTTTTTCAATAATAATATAAAATACTTCGAATGTAGGTTGTAATAAATTTATTGTGTTATAAGAGAAAATAATTGAAGGACATTGAAGTAATTCAACAAGTCTGCAATATAAGATAACATTCGACCAAACAAATTAATGTCACATTCCCTTAATCTTAACCAAACACAAATGAGATAAAAATTGAACACATTCCCATCAATCTAACATACCCAGTAATCTGACATTCCCATGTTAATCTGACATTCCTTGAACCAAACGGACCCTTACAGTCTTGCACACACCTTGTTTCGGAGGAAATTTGAGGAATAATTTCTCATCCATCTCAACATAATTTTTTCACAACTAATAGATGGAAACGTTCACCTTATGAAGTACAATATGTGATAACTTAGTCCCACTAAAATGAGAAGTTGGTATTTACACATTTTAGCTCTAAAATGACTAAAATATTAATTTGTAGAACTACTTTTCAACAAAAGCTCCAAGAAGTCTCGACTCTCTAGTGAAGTTTACAGAAGGAAAAAAGGTTGATGGATATTTTTTTCCTATTAAGTGTGCACATATGATAACATTTTAGCATGATGATTAAAGTGATGACTATGAACTTAGCCGATTCGTAAGTGAGAGCTTATCAAAATGGATTGTGAATATTTCTGATCTGAATTGTTCAAGTTCTGATCTGATCTGATCTGAATTTTTCTTATATGGTCTGATGATCTGAATCTTTATGATCTGGTTTGAATGTTTCTGATTTGATCTAAATCCTTCTCATCTGATCTGAATCTTTCTGATCTGATCTGATTTGAATATTTCTATAATTATAATTATAATACTTATAATTATTATAATTTTAATTACAAATATAATTTAAATAAAAATATAATTATAATCATAACTATAAAAATATAATACTAAATAAAATTAAATTTAAAATTATAAAAATTATACATATTACACTAATTATAACTCTCTATATATAATTATAATTGTAATTATATTTTTAATTATAATTTATTGTATAATTATAATTGTAATTATAATTACCATATTTATCTCTATAATTGTAATTACAGTTATAAATATAATTATAATTACTCCGTATAATAATTACAATAGTAATAATAATAATATTAATAATTATTATTATTATTATATAATAATAATAATAATAATAATAATAATAATAATAATAATAATAATAATAATAATATTTATAATAATAATCATATTATTATTATATTTACTATAATAATATTATCATAGTAATGATAATATGTTTATTACAATAATATTAATATAATTATATCATTATTATAATAATTAATAATTATTATTATATTCATATTATTATTATTAGATTATTATAATATTATAATTATTATTAATATATTATTACTATTATTATTAATATTTTTTTATCATATTATTAATATTATGAATAATAATTATAATATAATAATAATAATTAATATAATAATAAAAGTGATAAATCATGTTTGAACTTTTCTTATCTGATCTGAATGTTTCTGATCTGGTCTGATCTGAATCTTTCTAATCAGGTCTGAATATTTCTGATCTGGTCTGATATGAATCTTTCTGATCTGATCTGATGTGATCTGAATTTTTCTGAACTGATCTGAATAAAATAAGAATAAGCAATAAGTAATAAGAATAAGACGAAGAGAACAGCTTCTAAATTATAAACCGAGCACGAAATGTAAATTTGAACTTTTGAGGTCAATGAATGTACGTTAATAATGTCTTTTTATTAACGCAAGTATTATACTATTTGTTCAGGTTTATTCTTCCAAGTCCAAAGACCCAACATCTTCCTTTGGCTATTGTTGGAATGTAGAGGTTAAGATGGATCAAGCGTGAATAATGGTCAACAGGAAGAATCAAATAGTCAACTGCATTGAGGTAAATATGCTGATTACACAGAAAATGCCGAACGGGATCTTCGGAAGAGATGACTAATACAAAAGCTAAAATCAAATATATCGCTGTGAGTACAACTTTGCTAACCCCTTATAATGAAATAAATGTCGGTATTTATACTATGGACGAGTAGTTGGAGGGGGTGGCATGGCCGATTCTTGGTAGATGACCCCCAACCATAAAATCCTCCATATCTCTTGCATTAAATTTGCTTCCTACCAGTAATGAAAGGTTTCCGCCAATTCACTTGGTCGGGCTGATTCTCTATGGCTAACTCTCTTCTCTGCAGAGTGTGGTGTTTAGGCCGTTTGGTAGTGGCAGTTCGGCAAGTCCAGTGCAGTCTTTCCACTGCGTGCTCTCCGTCAGTTGGATCCCGTTGAACCTGGGCTTCATAGGGATATTTTGGGTCTGTACTTGGGACAGGTCCTAATATCCCAACACGATTTTATGCCCGTGTTTTGTTCCTTAATTAATATTTGACACAAAAAAATTGATTACCATTAAAGGTGGGGATTTCAAAAGTGCCACTTAGAAGGTGTTCCGTTCGTCTCATTCTTATTACTGCTTATTCTTATTTTATTCAGATCAGATCAGAAAAATTCAGACCAGATCAGATCAGAAAGATTCAGATCAGAAGCATTCAAATCAGATCAGAAAGATTCAGATCAGATCAAACCAGATCAGAACCATTCAGATCCGATCTGTAACATTCAGATCAGATCAGAAAAGTTCAGACATGATTTATCGCTTTTTCTTATAATAATACTATCCTCCGTTCCGAAAAGAATGCAACATGAGCTTGGGCACAAGGATTAAGAAACAAAGAAAAAGTAATGTGGTTGCCTGTTTTACCCTGTACGTATAAACCAAAAGGGTCATAAAGTGCTACAGTAGCCTATCAATCAAAGTTTTCATTACATCCACATGTTAATAATGTTAACAACAGTACATGACTTTTCTTTACATCCACATACAACCGTACATGTACTACTAAATTATCAAGTCCACTTGCGGAGGGAGAGAATATGAGTCCAAAAATTTTAGTTTCCCTCCAATTACTTTTCAGCGTACATATAGAGCCACCATCATCAGTTTCCACCATGTTCAACCATAAAACAAAAAATAAAGCCTAGCAGTCTGCACACAAAAAACAAAATCACTGCTGCACATCCATAATGGAGGAGGAAATTTCCATAGCAGAGCTTCTTCAACTAGAAGCCGAAGGAGCATTTGGGGATGATGATTTAGATCCAGACACAGAAATCTTTTCATCCTTTTTCTCTGAAAGTGAAAGTGAAGAAGAAGAAGAAGAATCTGGAATAAATTATGGTTCTACATCAGCAAACAAAAGGAAAGAAAATCTCAAAAACAGTCAAAGAAAACACCTAGTTGAGAAACTTTTGACACTAGCTGATGGTCAAAACTTACCCAAAGGAGCAATTTCAGAGATGGCAGCAGAGTTCAAAGTGCACAGAACCACAGTCTGGAGACTATGGTCCGCAGCAAAACTACAATTTGGTGTTGGTGCATTGATTGATGTAAAAAGTAAAAAAAAAGGCAACGTGGGAAGGAAGCCAAAGGTATTTGATTTATCTACTTTTGAAGCTATACCCATTCGAAAAAGGACAACAATAAGATCTTTGTCAATTGCCCTTGAGATTAGTCACTCTGCCGTATATAGATTGCTGAAAACAGGCCAAATAAGATCTCATACCAATAGTATCAAGCCTAAGCTAAGTCATTCACACATGCTAAAGAGGCTAGAATACATCTTGGCTCAGATTCTGCCAAGACAAGTGCACACACTTCCTAAATTCAGTGAAATGTATAATATGGTTCACATGGACGAGAAATGGTTCTACATGTCACAACAAACACAAAGGTTTTACCTATTTCCTTGGGAGGATGATCCGTATAGAAGTTGCCAAAATAAGAAATTTATAGGCAAAGTAATGTTTTTGGCTGTTGTGGCCAGACCGCATGTTTCAGCTCAAGGTGCAGTGACATGGGATGGGAAAATTGGCATTTTCCCATTCACTGAAGTGGTTTATGCACAAAGAAATTCAACAAATAGAGTTGCAGGCACTCCGGAAACAAAGGCAATACAAAGTGTGACAAGAGACATCATTAGATCAAAACTTATCTATGCAGTCCTACCGGCAATAAGAGAAAAATGGCCGTCTAATGGATGCAAAGATATTTGGATTCAACAGGATAATGCAAGACCTCACATAGGTGTTCATGATGAAGAGTTTACTAAGGATGCTACATCATTTGGGTTCAACATTAGACTTACTTGCCAACCAGCCCAAAGCCCGGATTTTAATATTCTTGATCTTGGGTTTTTTAGAGCTATCCAGTCTATCCAATACAAATCATTCCCTAGGGATGTAAATGAACTAGTTAATGCAGTCCAAGATGCATACTATGCTTTTGAACCAAGGCTATTAAACTATACTTGGTTGCACCTCCAGTACATTATGATAGAAGTTCTAAGAGTCAAGGGTGGTAATAACTACAAGAACCCTCATGCTGGAAAAAGAAAAATGGACAAGCTTGGATTATTGCCAACAAACATTGATCTTCCAGAAGACTTAATTTCAGATGCTAGACACTACCTCATGGATGGTCAAATTCAGTTAAGTACAGGGGTGGGGTCAAACGTGACACCTGCACTTAATTGAATTTTACACTAATGGATAGTTCCTCATTTTGCAAAGGCAGACTCTTTTTGGAAAGGATAATTCATGCTTTTGTAAAGGCAGCCTCTTTTTGGTAAGGATACTTCCTAATTTTGTAAGGGATATAATTCCTGCTTTTGAAAAGGCAGCCTCCTTTTTGTAAAGGTTAGTTCCTAGTTATGTCAAGGTAGCCTTTTTTTGTGAAGGATTGTTCCTGGTATTATAAAGGCAACCTCTTTTGTAAAGGATAGTTCCTGGTATTATAAAGGCAGCCTTTTTTGTAAAGGGTAGTTCCTAATTTTTGTAGGAAATGCTTGACTTTTGTAAGGATAATCACAAACAGCTTTTCCAACAATCAAATATTCCAATCATAGCAGTATGTTGCTTAGTGTGTAAAGATTATGTGGCCTAATGTTTTTCTATTACGGTTACAGATTATACCCATAAAACACACAAAACTGACACTTTTTACAATTTGATAAAGCTGTGATTAAAAGTTGTTGTTGCTTAAAATCAAAACACTTTATTCACAGTTTTCTGTTGCTTAAACTTTTTGTTCCTTAAACTTTTCTGTTGCTTAAACTTGATGTATCTTAAAATGAAAACAATTTATTCACAGTTTTCTGTTTCTTAAAAATAATCTTACACTTCTGTCAAAAAAATAAGTGTAAACTCTGAAAATCCCGCCAAAAATCAATTCAGTTTCTTAAACAAGCCTTTAGTTTAAGAAAACTAAGCCTTTAGTTTTCTTCCAGTAAACTAAAGTTTTCTGCAGTAGGATTCCTTAAGCAGTTGATTCCTTAAGCACTAAGGAGTAGTTTAAAACCAAAACCAATAAAGAAAAACAAATAGCAGTAGGATTCCTTAAGCATACGAATAGCTTAAAGGTACTTCTATATTCAGTTGATGGTAAATCAAACCCAACATCAATTTATTCAGTTGTTGATGTAGCTTAAAATCAAAACCAATAGCAGTACATTCCTTAAGCAATAGCAAGTACGAAGTAAACATTTGCATACAAATTACACCCAATAAAGAAAGCTATATAAACATCAAGGCCCATATATACACAAATTACACACAACAAATCAGCCACATGTATAGATCAAGAAGTACCAAGTAAATTACCTCTTTCACCATATCCCTTCTCTCCAAAACAAATTGGAAACCAGATTCGTAAAATATCCATGAAGACAGGTGTCTGGAATCCGAATGTTGGATTGTATACTCTGTCCTTCTTCATTGCTAACTTCCGTGATACCTTCTTCACCACAAAATTAGATGGCAAGAAGTTATGATCGTCAAACTCTTTCTCTCTTTCCAGAAGAACATGTGGCGGAGTATCTGGAACCACCAAACAGGAGATAGTATCTCGCAGGGGAGTAATCGGATCCACCAAAGAGAAGGTTGTAACTCGTGGAGGAGTAGACGGAGAAAAATCAGTTTCGTCTTCATCCATGACCTTTCGTTTCGGGGAGTAGATGGAAGAAAACAAAAAAAAAATGAGGTAGATGATGGGGAAGAAATGGAGAATGGGTTAGGGTAGATGAGGAGAATCGATGGTAAAGGTGAATGGAATTGCAGAGGGGAGAGGGGGTTGTAAAGATGAAGGTTGGTGGTGGTGGGTGGATAAATTAAAAAAATGTCAGAAATGGGATGGGTGCCGTAAATAAGAAAAGTGCCGTAAATAAGAAAAGGGTATAACAGTCAGTTTACTTAATGTTTCTTTCCCAAAATGGAAATGTTGCATTTAATTTGAAACTGTCGTAAATGGAAAGTGTTGCATTTTTTAAAGAACGGAGGGAGTAATAATTACAATTATAATGATTATTATTATTATTATTATTATTATTATTATTATTATTATTATTATTATTATTATTATTATTATTATTATTATTATTATTATTATTATTATTATTATTATTATTATTATTATTATTATTATTATTATTATTATTATTATTATTATTATTATTATTATTATTATTATTATTATTATTATTATTATTATTATTATTATTATTATTATTATTATTATTATTATTATTATTATTATTATTATTATTATTATTATTATTATTATTATTATTATTATTATTATTATTATTATTATTATTATTATTATTATTATTATTATTATTATTATTATTATTATTATTATTATAATTATTATTATTATTATTATTATTTTATTATTACTATTGTAATTATAATTATTATTATTGTTGTTGTTATCATTATTATTGTTATTATTATATTTATAATAATAATAATAATAATAATAATTATAATAATAATAGTTACATGGAGTAATAATAATTATAATTATAGAAATAAATATTATAATTACAGTTAAAATTATAATTCTGTAAATAATTATAAATAAAAATATAATTAAAATTAAAATTAAAGCTATAATTTAATTTAGTGCAATAGTTATAATAATAATAATAATAATAATAATAATAATAATAATTGTACCTATTGTAAAATGTTAATGTTAATTATAATTATAATTTTTTATAATTATTATTATAATTATATTTAAATTATATTTATAATTACAATAATAATAATAATAATAATAATAATAATAATAATTATTATTATTATTATTATTATTATTATTATTATTATTATTATTATTATTATATATACTACCTCCGTTCCAGGGACAAGTTCCTACTTTCCTTTTTTGGCAGTCCCAACAAGAAGTTCCCATTTCCCTAAATGGAAAGATATCCTACATCAAAACAGTGCCAAACAGTGTAAAATAATGCCAAACAGTGTCGAAACAGTTCCAAACAGTGTCGAAACAGTGCCAACAGTGTCGAAACAGTGCCACATATTATTTCCTTAATATGTGTGAAAGTCAACCCGGGAACTTTTCCCTGGGACGGAGGGAGTATAATTTTAGAAATATTCGAATCAAATCAGATCGGAAAGATTCAGATCAGATCAGAAGGATTCAGATCAGATCAGACCAGATCAGGAAGATTCAGATCAGATCAAAAATATTCAGATCAGATCAGAAATATTCAGATCAGAAAAATTCAGATCAGATCAGATCAGAACTTAAAAAATTCAGATCAGGTGAAGAGAACAGTTTCTTAATCAAATACGGATCCAGCATCTCTGTCTTGGTTAAGCAGCCAAGGAGGGTGTCTGCCTGTTTTCATCCATCAAATCAAAAAATGAAGGGTTGAAGATTAAGGGCCCCAATTTTTGCACGAATCTCGAGGCCTGCTTTTCGATCTGTGCCATCCATTTGAGCAAGGCACTCTACCTATATACTACATCTTTTCTTTTTTAATCGCAACGGTTTAGCTTTCACGTTTACCAACACACAATTTTGGTGGGAACTATGTGTCTATTCCAACTTCTAAGTGAGGTCTTGTGGCATCTGTTATTTGTTAAAATTTGTTTGTAAAAGATTATCTAGATTGTTTGTACCAACTTAATATGAGTTCATTAAAGGGGTGTCAATTTGAGCGGCTGATCCAAACTACCTTTTACTCTCCTGTAGGAGAAGGGTTAAAGGGGTGTCTTCTTATAATACCACTAAAAAAACTTGTCTCGGAGCAATGGGGAGCCACCTATAGAATTGTGGTGTCAATTGACACCATAGAAGTTTTTCCTTTTCATATATAGGTATACATAATTTTTTAAAAAAATTAAAATTGACACCACTGAAAAAAATAATTTACATATAAATGTATGTAATCTTTCAAAAATTTAAAATTGACACCACCATTTAAAAAATAGAAATTGCTCAATATAGGATCAAAACATCTCAAAGATAAAAAAAAATAGGACTAAATATGTTTTATTACCCAAATAAGACTTAGGCATATTAGTCTTTTTAAAAGAATAACTTGATTAAAACTTCTCAAATCATGAGTTATTGAGGCTTGTATTGGGAATAAAACATCGATCGTACTATTTATGAATTTTATCCATGTTTTAGTCCTATTTAGGAAATTATCTCAAAAATAATGGGTGTCAATGTATATATTTTAAAAGTTGGAACACTGACTTTACAAAATTGAAAAGTCGAGCAAAAATGAAAATTTTGGGCGGCACAAGTCTTACTCCAACGATCTAACTCCAAATCGCTGTATGGAACATCGGAATCACATAACAACTGATTGCACAAGCGAATAGAAGATGCTTTGATAAATGATATCTTAATTACTTTTATTGAAAAAGATATATTTAGAAAGTTTAACAAACAAAAAATTGCATACACATTTTCAACATATGAAATACACGCTCTGGGTAGTTGTGATTTAGCACTTTAATTTTATAAATGACAATTTTTGCTATTTTGCTTATAGAGGTATGAGGAATGATTTGGTCAGTCCGGACTTTATGGAAACCGCTATCCGGCCATGCCCGTAGGAGGAATCTCCGGGTCAATTTTTTTATAAAATTTTTTAAGCATGTTCTTTATGAATTGTAACAACATATCCGCAAAATTTTATTCAATACTTCGACAAGGAAAACAATTAAATATATTATTGAAATATGGCGCCTTATATATACATAAAGTGCCATATTTTTCGAAAATTTATTTGACTAACTTATCGATTGTTTTTTTTTTTTTTTTGAAATTTTGTGGCGATGTTCTACACTTTATGAAGAACATCCTCTAAAACTTTCATCAAAAAATTCGATACAGAAGGCGCTCAAACGAACTTCGTCCCCCAAAAAAATTCATGTTGTTTGTGGTCAATCATGTATTTTTAGGGAGGTTTTGGTTTAGCCCCCTCTCTTTGTACTCTCCTTTTTTAATAAAACATCGGCAAATGCTCCTCGGCATTTACCCCACTGATATTGGTAGTTGACCTTCCGGGGTAAAAAAACTTGGCCCGAAAAAAATTGTGTTCGTCCAGACTGACCACATCATTTCTATACCTTTATATATTACATGTAAACATTATTATATCATGGCCCCGCCACTCTCTGAGAGCTTTGGAAGATATGACTCTAGGTCACTAAAATCACTAGATCACTTTGAAAGGTCACTATAGATTATAGAACTATAGTCATTGCAACGTAAAAATTACATTCTGTGTGTTGTATTCATTTCAGTAATATACTTCTTAACTACGGAGTATTGGTGGACTCGGGCCGGTTCGGGCCCGGTTCAGGCCTGGGCCCGGCCGGGCCTCGGGCCAGAAAAGTTGGGCCCGAGCCCGAACTGCCGGTGGGCGGTTCCGGTTCCGGTTCCGGGCCAAACCGGGCCGGGCCGGGCCTAACCGGTTTTAATTTTTTTTGGCTCTTCTATTTAACCCCCTCCCCCTCAACCCCAAACCACCTCAAATGGCCCAAAATACCTAATCCAACCCAAAACTTAAAAAAAATTCAAAAAAAAAAAAAAAAAATTAAAAACCGGCCCGAACCGGGCCCGAACCGGCCGGGCCGGTTCACAAAAAACTGGGCCCGAGCCCGAACCGCCCAGCAGCCGGGCCGGGCCGAACCGAACCGGTGGACCCACCGGGACCCGGGCCGGGCCGGGCCAAACAGTAACCGGGCCGGGCCGCCCGGCCCGAGTCCACCACTACTACAGAGTATATATTTTAAGGACCTTCTAAGGATGTTTTTACTTGGATTAAATCTGGTCTGATTAAATCTGGTTTGGTCTAATCTGGTCTTGTAAACGTCTGGTCTTGGAAGTCAAGTCTGTCTGGTCTGTTTAAGTATTTTCTGATCTGGTTTGTTCTATTTAAATTTGATCTGGTCTGATTTTTTTAAGTCTGACACTGAACACCGTTCAAATAAAAACATATAAATCGTATTTGACCTTTCAAATTGTGTTGGGATACATAAACATTTTGGGTAATAATTCCTCCTATTTTATCCGATAACAAATATTTCGGACATGTCCAAATAAATTGTCTTTAAAGACCAATAAATATGGCAATTCTTTTGTTTTGTTGAAATATTTATTGTTGAGTGGAAATAGAAAAAGTAGTTCCACGTGCCATATTCCCCCACCGTTTTGCCACGGACAACGGGACAATGTATAATTGGATTGATTTATGCTAAATTAATTTGCAAATTAAATTCTGCATAATATTTAATGAAGCACGATGAAGAAAAAAAATTAATGAAGCTTTGACTGTAGTCGCAACCTTCCATAGTTTGAATAGTCATACCTAATGAGTGGAGTGTTCACAACTGGAGTGTTTGCAATTTACCTATCTATTTAAAATCATTTTTTTATCATGTAAAAGAACAATTTTTATATTAAAATTGAGAACACATAAAAGAAAATTTTCAGATAGATTTTATAGATTCAAATATTCAATTTTGAATTCTAGGAAAAGACAGTAAGGATGTTTTTACTTGGACGGTAATTTGCTGGTCTGGTCTGGTCTGAACTGGTCTGGTCTGGTCTGGTCTGGTAAGGTCTGGTTTCTTTGTATTTTTATAACTATCCAAGTCTGGTCTGAACTGGTCTGGACTGGTCTGGTCTGGGACAAATTATAGTCCAAGTAAAAACATTATAAGTCACCTCATACAAAGCAACCCCACTCGTTTCACTTTTCACTTTATTTGAATTTTGTTGTTATGATGTAA